TTTGTATCTCTTAATTTCTCCCACCCCCCCTTCCCTCTCCCACTGGTAACCACTAGTTTGTTTTCTATGTCTGTGAGTGTTTCTGTTTTGCTAGATACATTCGTTTTATTTTTTTACATTCCACATAAACAGGTGGAGACTAAACAACATGCTACAAAAAAAAAAACCCACAAAACAATGGGTTAATGATGAAATCAAAGAAGAAATCAAAATGCCTCGAGATAAATGAAAATGGAAACACAGCACTGCAAAATCCATGGGGTGTAGCAAAAGTAGTTCTAAGAAGGAAGTTTGTAGTGATACAGGCCTAACTCAAGAAACCAGAAAAATCTCAAATAAACAGCCTGGCCTACCACACCCTGCTTTATCGTGTCCTCTCTGGAACGCATGGGAGGAATGACTAGCAGGTTTCTCACACAAGCCACCCGAGGTCAGGAGGGGAGCCCTCGCCCCCTCGGCAGTACAGGCCATGGGGGCTTCATGGGTCAGACCCAGGCCTGATCACAGTGGCCCCAGTCACTGGTCACAAGCTGTGGGCTGGCTATGTCCCTTTTTCCACCATCCGTGAGCCCTCAGCCCAAACTGAGCAAGGGCCTGTGAACAAAAAATACTGCCCACCATATCAGTAAACAAAGAATGCTGTGGCCATCAAGTCATCAGCCACTGCCCCCCACCAAGCGCCCCTGGTTTCTCTCTTCAGGGGCCTGCGAGCCCCTCAAAGGCAGAAGCCGTTTCTTACCCATCTCGGCATCCAGGGCCCAGCGTCCAGTGGGATGCAATAGATGTCCTGAAATTGTCAAAGAGGATCTGAGACTGGCTCCTGGGTTTGGGCCCTGGTTCTGTACTTTGTCCCCGTTTCAGATTCAGACTCTCACTCTGCTCCTTCACACTTTAGGTGACCTCCAGCTGGGACCAAGGCCTCCCAGACCTGGGCTCCAGGTGGGGTTGGGAGAGGCCCATGTTTGGAGCCCTCCCGTCCCAGCCGCTGAGCTGGAGCCTCCTAGAAGCTCCGGTATGAGGGAGAATCTGGGGTCTTTGGAGTTGTGGCCCTGGGGCCGGCCCCGACCCCTCCTGGAAGTCCCCACCAGAGGACAGCACTTGCTGGGAGACAGCCAGGGTGTCCCTTAACACCTGCCACATCTACTCACAAGCAGGCCCTGATGGCCAGGGGAGAAGTGTCTGTGTGAGGCTTGGTTCTGTGAGGCTCTGTGAGAATGCTGGCTGTTATTACTAAAATTACTGATACTAAATTTCCAACATATTGCTGATAACAAAAGTTTAATCTTCTATACGTATCACGATGTGGAATCCAAAAGGGTCGTATTTCATTCTTGGAGAATTCAAAGTACACAGATTCCCGAGGAGGACACAAGTCCCCAGAGAGGCTCTGGTCACCTCCCTGAATGTCCTCCCGCCGGCTCAGGAGGCAGGGTGGCTAGCGTCAGCTTAGGGATCTGCACTCCCTGCTTAAGCCCCAACCTTGACCCGAGCTCCTCACCCCTGCAGGAGAATCACAGTAACAGCTAGTATCTGTGAGCCGACACACTCTCCCCCAGGCGCTGTCGCCAGTCACCGTCACCGGCTGCTGTCAGCTCCTGAAACAGAGCTGCTTCAGACTCCAAGCCCTTCCTTATGCGGCTCCCCATCCCAATTGCCCTCCCTGCCTAAGGCTGCATCGCACCTTTAGAACTCCAGCCGGTGACTCCAGGCAGGGAAAGGGCATGTGGCTGACCACTGATCAATCTGGTAACTTTTTCAAGGTCCCATGTTGTAGGAGGCCTTTTGTAAATCCCTCCCCTTCACTTCCAGTTTGGGTCAGTGCCCCATTGCCCTGAAATGTGACCCCTCTGGCCCCCGCCACCTCCCACTCCCAAGTTCTTGAGAGCAGGAGCCCTGCCCAGGGCCAGGCACACAGCAGACCCTCACCAGACGTGCAGGTGGCAGAACCAAGCCTGTGAGTTCTTGCTGACAGCAAACATCAGGCCTGCCACCAGAAGGCTGTGCCCTGACCGGAAGCTCTCAGTTGTTCCCATGTGTCTCCTGAGTCCACACGAAAGGAGCCTGGCTTGGAGGGGACGCCCAGGTTTGACTTGGGCCTCATGACCTGCCCCCCCACTGCACAAAAATGCCCTGGGGTCTCCCACCTCAGTTTTCTCCTCCACCCTCCCTGTCCCTCTCTCCAGGAGGAGACCCCAGAGGGCCTTTGAGGGCATCTCTGCATGGCCCTTGGTCCGCAGAGAAGCAGACCAAGGCACAGAGAGAAGGCACGTGCCCAGCATGTGTGTGTTCAGGCATACCGGGGCCCCTCCTCAGACCTAGATACAGAACTTCAGCAATGGGCAAGGCCACGTAATGGGGCCACGGCCCCAAACGCCTGCGTAAAAGTATCTGTTCAGGGGTGCTGGAGTGGGGTGGGAGTTGGCAGGGTACGGGGCGCTCCTGGAAGCATCTGGAAACCCGAGCATAGACCAGACAGGCAGAAGCTGATTAAAGGAACACGTTGGATTTTAATGCTGCACTGACATTGTAGTTCTCCCCTGTAACCTTGTGATCCCACGTGCTCGCCCATCCCTCCCTCAGTGGCTCCAGCAGCCCCAGGGAGCGCCCTTGCAGCTCAGCTTCTGCCCAGCGTGTCCCTCCCCGGCACAGGCTCATCACCCAGGGGCCCCGGAGTCTGTGGGCGCTCAGTGAACACAGCTGAGCACAAAGGGGTGGAGAGGGTGGTGATGTCCAGAAGGACATCAGACAGAAGTCCCTCTGTCCCCTACTTCGAGGCAGAGCACAACTGTCCCCTGGCTTGGGCCCAGCCTTTACCCAGCCACAGCGACGGTGGGTAGACAGGTGAGGCCTTCGTGTGACACCAGCCCCCTCTCCTTCAGCCCTGACCCAATATGCCAACCGCGCCAAGGCAGGTCTGTCCCTGGGCCTCAGTTTCCGCATTTGGGAGGCAATGGGTAAACCTCCGAAGGCAGGAAGCGCCTCTGTCACTCCCTGCGGCAGAGGCAGCCTTCCCTGACGAGATCACCAAAGACCTCCCCATCCCTCCACCCCATCGGTCCCGCTTCCCTCCACTTCCATCCCGACCACCTCTCACCACCGGGAAGACCCGCTCCTTCCCGCATCGGAGTGGAGCCCACAGCGCCACTCAGTGGACCGTTCTGGTAACTGCACTGACCTCTTTCGACCAGCTTCCCGCCTCAGTCTGGCTCCTGCACTATTTTCCCTTAAAAGGAGTCTTAATTCTGAAAGGAGAAATACTTTCATGACCTTAATGGCAGTGGAGATGTTTCCTAACATCGCTGGAGGAAGGGACCTTACTGCGGGGCGCCCTTGTAGGTTCCCGCCAGGTTAGATTAAACAAATCAGTGATGCTCCCATTGCTGCCACGGCTTTCACAGGTGCCCCACAGCTGATCTGCACCTTGAGATAACGTGACATAAACACCTTGACAAAAGAACATCTTGGTATAACTCCACTTAACCTAGCAGAGCTCGACATAATCCCCCTTGGCATCTAAATCTTGTGTAACTGCATCTTGACATAAATGCACCTTAACGTTCCTCCACCTGTGCATAATTACACCTTAACATACCTGTACCTGGACCTAACTCCATCTCGGCATAACCCTACCTCGACTCCGCTCCATCTTGATGTAAGTGTACTTAGATATTATAGTGTGGGGATCCCATGTGCCCACTTTATGGATAAGAAGCATGAGTCCTGCAGCAGCGATGTGCCTCGCCTGAGTTCACAAGACTAGAAAGAGGCAGAAGCAGCCTCCTCTGCGCGGTCTTCCCTGCCCTCCACCATCTCCCGACTCTGGGCTCAGGGCAGGTGGCCTGGTGGATTCAGCCCCCAGAGAGTTGGCTCCTGCAGTCTCTTCTTCCTAAAGATGAGAGTGGGCCCCCGGCTAAAGAAACAAAGACACGAGGAAGGAGCTGCCCTAGAAAGAGTGGCCACAGCCCGCAGCCAGCGTCCTCCACGTGCAGGGAAGTGGACCAGTTGCCCAGTCACACCCGAGGGCCACAGTTGCCCCTCCTGGGCCCCAAATCCCCATGCATCTCAAGTCTGGCTCTGATATTTTTGGAGGCATTGTTTTAGCGACTCCCTCGGGAAAGCTCCCTCCCACCCGGGCTCTCAGGGCTCTGGGGAGGACTTAATGCTTTTTAATCTGCTCTACTGTGCGCTAGGCCCAAACCCGAGTGGACTGGAAAGTAAACCGGCCAGCCAGGTAGCTCCAGCCGTACATGGCGCAGCCCTGCCTCAGGGCACCGCAAGGCCACTGGAGCTGGACCGGGCCCTGGCGGTGGTGGGCTGGGCTCGCATCATTGTGGTGAGATTCTAGGGTGAAAGGAACTAAACTGCCATGTGGGAGTCTGGGAAGAAAAGGGACGAGACAGAGAACACTCCTTTGCCCCCGGGATGTCAGACTGTGGGCTGGAGGTGAGGCCTGGGAGGGAGGGCTCAGGAGCCAGCGCTGCTGCCGTCGGTGCTGGCAGAGCACTCAGAGCAGAAGGCGGGGTCGGGGTTGGCCAGGGAGGGTAGGGAAGAGCGAGGATGATGAAAACATCCAAGACCCAAACCCCCGGCCTTGAAACCTCGCAGTCTAGTGGGGGAGACCCCGTAGCACACGGGGCAACGCAGTGGGACAGCAGTATGTGCCCCATGTGCAGAGGCAGCCCGGGAAGGCGACGATTAACTCCAGGGGACGAGAAAGATGTCTTCCGAGATAAACAAGAGCATCCCCAGCTTTGCCTAAGCTGCTGTGTGAGTTTGGGTTCTGGAACTTGCACCCAAACAGTCCTTGATGAAGTGGAAATGATACCACACACCCGAGCCCTGCAGACAGACTCGGCCGCGCCGCGCGGCCGCCCTAGGAGCAAGGCCGGGAGGGCTGGGCCTTAAAACCCTCCAGGGCGCTTTGGGTGCAGTTGTCATCGGGACCTGTGACGAGGTGGCCAGTTCCGGTGCTGATGCCACAAAAGCAACCAACTCAATGCTTTTTACTGTACAAATGACTTTTATTTGAATGTATCTACTCAGTAAATATTTAACAGTGACCATCTCAGAGAGCTGCCGGCAATAAGGTGGGAGATAAATGGTGGCTTTTCAAGCTTTCGGGGTGATTAGAAAGTGAGGGGTCAAGAGGGTGAAGGCAGGCTTTCTCTTCAGTGACCGCCCTCCCGCCCCGCGCCGCCCCAGGAGCAGGAAAGCGTTGACACGAAACTGTAAGTCTCAGAATCGGCGAAGACAAGTTCCTTCCATGAAGCAACTAATTCCACTTCCCAGCGGCGACAGGCCCTCGCAGTCACGAGGCTGAGCCCGGGCTCACGTCAGGAGACCCTCTGACTCACGTCGGAGCCTGAGGGAAAGTGCTGGAACCCCAGCACAGTGGAGAATGGCCCAAAGTGCAGACACCTTTGCGCTCCCAGGCCCCTGTGTGCCCGTGGTCCCAGGCCCCACCCAGCTGGACCACTTGGGGGGATGCTAGACCGTGGGACGGGGTCCTTTCCACCCTCCTGGATGTCCCGCGTGTGAGAGGAGCCCAGAGGAGAATTCTTGCACGTGGCGTCCTGCCCGTGTCCTTGATGGTCTGTTCTGAGGGGTAAGGTGGCTTCCAGTCCTTATGGGGTGGGGTCTTGGAGGCCTGACCGAGGCATCCTGCAGCCTGGCTGTTCTCTAGGCCACCTGGCTTCGGAGAAGAGTGTCCCACTCTTCCCTCCCCGACCCTCCTCCCTTCCCCCAGGCCTTACTGTATAACAATTTTGCAGAGTCAATCACTTATTTTCCCCACAAATCTACCTTCAAAGCTGATTTTAGGAAGATTTCCCTTGGCTCCCAAAGCTGAGGAGGAAAGGGGAGAGGAAGTGATTGGGGGTCGGGGACTGCAGGACGGGGCAGTGCGTTGGACCACAGCTGCGAAGCAGAGGCAGGACCAGGGGACTGAAACAAGGTCCATGTGTCTTCAGATCCAAAAGCGCTGACAGCACCATTTCGATTTTAAGAAAATAAGACTGAATGTTCCCATAAACCTGCTGTGGGGAACCTCGTTGCTGAGGCCAAATCCCCAAACAGGCGGGAGGCTGTTCTCACCGGTGAGGCCTTTGGCTGTTGTTTTTCTAGAAGAGCGAGGTTCGTTGTCAGATAATTCCAAGAGACACTTTCCCAGGCACAACAAAACAACCACAAAGCCCCCTCACCCCTTGCTTTTTCATATTCATCATAATGAATTAAAATGTCCCAGCAGAGCTGCCAGAATGTGATTTCATCACTCAGTCTGAAAAGACGGTCTGTTGATCCATTAGGTCATTGCTGAGCTGCTGTTTATCGTCCAGATGGCGAATGTTGAAAACCACTTTTGGGAGCCGGCACTCGGGGTTTTCAAAGAGCATTTCCCACGTGGGCTCGGCTCCCTGCTTCTTCAGTGGTAATAGATGCTGAAGGCGTGGAGGATGTAGAGCAGGGTGGTGATGAAGGCAAAGAACTGCAAGAGCCGGGAGGGTTACTGCGTTTGAGATGCCAGCGATCGCTGCCCACCCCGCCATCCTCAAAGGGCCCGCAGCCTTGCAGCCTGGGAGGCCAGCGTTCTGACCCTGCCTGGTCTCCTGTCTGCCCATGTCCTGCCTAACCTGAGGGCAGCCACCACTGGCCAATTGACTCCATCCTCCTTGAAACGCTCTGTCCTGAGTGTCCGGAGGCCAGACTCTCGGTGTCCCACCCCGACTGTGCAGACGTGTGCTCCTCCACCTGGCCAGAAAGCAGGCCTGTCTCCATCCTGCCCTGGGTCCCCTCTCTCGCTGTCCTCTTGTCCTGGGTGCTCCCCCCCTGCCTACCTTCAGCCGCTGTCTGTGTCCTGATGACAGTTTCACTCACTGGCCCTGAACTCGGCCCTACATGCCCATCTCTTGGCTCTGTGTGAATGCCTCAGAGGCCTGTGAACTCTCAGTGGTCCAAACTGAACTTCTGAGATTTCCTCACAAGCTCATTGGGCCCCAGGACCCTCATCTCATCCAGCTACCCAAACCACAAACCTGTGGTCCCTCCCTCCCCCACCTGCTGCGTCCAGAGCCATCCCCAAAGTCGCCCAACGGTACTGCCCATCCACCTCTCCACCAGCCGACACTCCAGCCTCATTCAGCCCTGCTGTCCAGTCACATTCTGTTTCATTTATTCATTCGCTTATTCATTCAACAAATATCTTGTAAGCACCTGCTGTACTTCAAGAATAATGGTGGCTGTCATGGTGAACAAAAATGCAACATTTCCGGCCCTCAGGGAGCTTGCATCTTAGTGGCAGAAGCAGAGAACAAGCAAGATAGACCAGTAGGGAAGCAGGTTACACGGGGCTAGGTGCCCAGGAGAAAACACAGCAGGAAAGGGGCGGGGGAGGAGCAAGCCCTCACCGAGAAGGTGACTCCTGAGAAAAGATCAGAAAAAGGGGAGGGGGCTGGAGCCACGGCCGAGGCGGCAGTGTGTCTGTGGGTCCAGGGACAGCCAGGAGGCGGGTGTGGCTGGAGCAGCTGACCAGGGCTGGGGCCAGAGTGGTGCTGGGCCAGAAGGGAAAGGGGGCAGATGGGCTGCAAAGGCAGCTTGACGACCTCGCGGCCACCCTAGTGAGTCCCCGGGCCTGCCTGGCATCACTGTTTCAGCGGGGACAGCACCCCACGCTGCGCCCCCGCCTCCTGCCCTCTGATCCCTGTGGGAGCCCCCAACAGACACAGGACTCGACCTTTCTGGGCATAGCGACTGGTCAGGGTGGGCTGGGGCCCAGCCTAGGCCTTAGAGTCCTTCCTGGGAAGGATTAAGGAAGGTTAAGTGGCTCCAGAGCAGGAACTGCCTGGCTGTGAGCCACCTGCCACACGAGGGCGCCATCCCACAAAGAGAGGAAGGAGGCTGCCCTGCGGGGCCTGGGCCGGCAAGGCCCGGCTGGCCTCAAGTCTCTGGTCCCAGTGGACCTAAGGTCTGGAGGAGGGTCCTGCTCATCCCACAACTTGTCTGGACCACCTTGCCTCGGATTCCATCAGCCAATACGTTACCCCTGTGAACATCCATCATTGAAATAAAAGGACACAGGAATGGTCCAGCCATGCAGGGGAATTTGGGCTCCATTCTACCAGCAGTGGGAGCCATCAAAGGATTTTTCAATAAGAGAGGTGAATTTTGGAAAATTTACATTTTGGAAAAAACTACAAATATTGTTTCCAATTTGCATTTTGGAAAATCAGTCTGAGGGCAGTGTAGTGAGGTTAAATGGAGCAGTAAAAACAGAAGACGAGGGATGACACCTGACCTTGGACTTGGTTACGCTACAGTTGGTCACACCTGACATCACACACACACACACACACACACACACACACACACCCCTCCTCCCATCCCTCAAGGCTCCCTCAGCCCGAGGGCTCAGGGTCGTCTGTTCCCCACGAGACAGAATGAAGCCTCTTGCGTTTCCTCGGTTAGAGGCTGTCGTGTTTCTGTCCCGCACTCACCGAGGCTGCGGTGTTTATGTAGTAGTTTTTCAAGTCCGAGAACTCAGAGACGATGGTGGCGTGTGCCTGCAGGACGGCGGCACTCATGTACAGGATGCCAGTGGTCCCGTGGTACAGGCTGTCCTGGAAGGATGGAGCAGAAGCCACCGTCACTTGGGTACGGAAGCCGGTGGACACTTTCCCCTCTGACTATGCAGCTGGGAAGAGGCGCCAAAGAGACAACTCCTGTTTCTCCTTTAGCAGTGTTTCTAGAGAAGTGTCTATGTCGTGAACAATAGTGGGTTAATAAGTGGCAATAGTAATACCGACACGAGCCAGTATTTATTGAGTGTTTCTTCCCGGCCAAGCGCTAGGCTAAGCCTTTTCCCCATTTATCTCATTTAACCTTGTCAACTATGGTGAAGTAGGTGCTATTTATCATTAGTGCCATTCTGAGGAAGTGGGAGTTCAAGTTTAAGGTCAGTGAATAAAGGCTGAGCCAGGATTTGAATCCAGGCCACATGAACGCGAAGCCTGTGCTCTTACCCATTAGTGTTATGAAGACCTACTAAGTGCTGGCACTGTCCTTATTATGTACACATAGTGTGTCATTTCATTCTCATAGCCAATCTCATAAGGCTGCCACTATTAATATCCCCAGTTTACAGATGAGGCTTAACTAACACGGGAGAATCGGCTGAGTCAGGCTAATCTGACTCTAGATTCCAATTTTTGAACCTCCGTGCTGAACTCTCAGCAGTGTTCTTCAGCTCCACAAGAATGTCATAGTTATCAATTCTGGAAGTACAGTCATAATGGCGAATTGGCATTTGCAGCCCCTAAAGAAACACTCAGTTCTGGGAAGCTCGTCAGTGGAGGAAAGAAAGCATTAGAGAAAAAGTTGATGGGGTGAGGCTGTCACACTGAAAAGAGGGACCACCAGTCACCACGTGGGATGTGACTGGAAGCCACTGCTGAAGCGTTCTTGCCCGAAAGGTTTAACTCATCTTCAATTTAGCCTTTCGTGCTAACTTCTAATTTATAGAAAATTCAGGGACTAAAGAAGTAAGTCAAATCACACTAGGAAGAAGCGAACAGACAAACCCACAAAATGTGGGACCTTTTACAGGACAGCTGACCGCCCAGTGTCTTCAGCAAGTCACTGGCAGGGAGAGCCAGTCTGAGTTAAATGTACCCAAGAAGCATCCGTTATCAAGTGCAAGTGGTCCTTGTAAGGACCCTGATTCAAACAAGCCAACTGCAAAAAAGACATTTCAGTTCTAATGGGGGAAACTGGAATGGGACCTGGGTCCTAGGTGATACCGAGGAATTACTGTTAACGTGCTGTAAGCGTGGTAACGCAAGAAAGGCTGCGTGTGTTTTGGAGGTGTACTGAAGTGTGCAGAGTGGAATGACACGATGTTTGGGGTTTACTTTAAAATCCTCCAGGAAAAAAAAAGAGGGCTAGACAAAGCAAGTGTGGAAAAATCTCGAAGATGCTGGGGTTATTTATGGCTGCATGAGGGTCCTTAAGATAATCCTCCCTCCTTTTTTAAGTGTTTTGAATTGTTCAATGTAGAAACATTTTAAATGGTTAGCAAGATGATGTGATGACATGAAAAAAGTTTAATGATATAAAATTAATTGGAAGAATCTACATCCAAAATTATTGGTTCAGTGTGATGATCTATACATTTGGGATAAAATTTGCCAGGAATATGGAAGAATGAACCCAGTGATTGTGATGGGACAAACCCAATGACTGAGAAGGCGGTGACACTTTTCGTACTAGCATTTCCTTCAATGTTACTCCAATGATTTCACCATAAATTTCGAGGGAAATGCTTGAGGATGTACTTGATACAGGAGAAGACGAGGTGCGTATATTCCCAACAAGGAAGGCGATGGAGGGGACCGCAGTGAAAGATGGACTCTGGCAGAGGAAGGCTTTCATTCCAACCTAGTTGTAAACGCATTCAAATAAAAAGTCGGGGTTCCACAGGGGCCCAGCCCAGGAAAACTCTCTGGTTCTCCCTCCCCACCCAGGAGGCCCCACGCCCAAGATGTCGGTCTGGGCGGAGCCCGAGGGTCTGGGCGGAGCCCGAGGGTCTGGGCTGCTCTCCTTGATACTTACCAGGATTTTCCAGGACTCGTATCTTTTGTAAAATCCAAACACGTAAGACAACAGGAACATTAGGGAGATGAGAAAGGAGGTGAGCGAGACGTACATCACCCATCCTTGCAGGAGGGGGCTTGCTACCTGGGTGGCGGCTACCAGGATCCAGACCCAGCACCCAAATATCTGCAAGAGAAAACCACGGAAGGGGCTTTGTTGGCTGGCGCCGGGCACGTTTTCCTCTGCAGGCCATCTCTCTCCTCTGGCTCCGGTTAAATGCTCTTCAGGTGGCGCTGGGTGGGAATCAAGAGGGAAATGGGGAAGGAAGGCTGGCCCCTGGGTCAGAGTAAATTCTGTGAGGAAATTCAAGTGGTTAACACAGAGGTCACCAATGGAAAGGCTTGGCTAAATTTGGCCTGTGGATGTGTCTTCTTGGCCCTGTGTTGGCATATACAGTTTTTGAGATATTTCTGAATAAGTTACCTACATTTAAAACAGGGCATTTTACACCAACACTCCAGATTTCAGACATTTCTTGAGAAAGCTGGCTACAGTCAACCCATTTCCCAAGCCAGAATAGGCTGAAACCAGTTGTGACTGTCTCTTTAAAAAGGACCTGGAGTTCTCAGTGGACCACATCTCCAACTTTCCCAGCCCCAGTGCCATTGTGTGCACATTCCTTGTTGCTCACTTTCACTGTGGAATAGTATTCGCCTTCTCCTGCCTCCCTTCACCCACTGACAGTGTCTGCCCGGCCCTGTGGACGTCTGGTTTGGGGCCCCCTGTTTATAGTATCTGACGTCCTGGGATCTGTTCCCAGCTGGGCGATACACTTCCAATTTAATCACCTCTCAACTCTGGCCAGCCATTTCTTATCCCCTTGGTGGAGAAACTGAACCTTCTCCCTGTCCTCGCTGGGCTCTGTGTTTGTTTGCTCTGGGGCTGGGCTTCCAGCCATGCTGGTGAGCCCAGAGGAGGAACAGCACGCTCAGGTCGACGCCTGGAGGGGGAGGGTTGATACGCACATGAACACCAAGTGGCTTTGTTCTTGCCTCATCTCCTCTCCTTCCCAGGCCCTCTTAGGATGTCCTCGCCAGTCTCCTGGGTTCTCCCTCTCCTCACTCCTGTTACATCAGTGCTTTGAAGCACCGCATGGACTGGAGACCCCAAAACCCAGCTGCAGCGCCGTTCTCTCTGTGGCCTTCAGCCCCACATGCCCACCTGCCTGCTGGATGTCTCTACTTGGACGACCCTCTGCAGGGGCCAGCCTTGCACTTGCGTGACCACGAGAGCAAGTGCCTCATTCTCATTTGCACCCTTGGCATTCCACTTGCCCCGCCCCAGTCCTGGCCCTGCCCCGCAAGCTCTTTAAGTCTAACAGGTACAAAACCTGAACTCACTGCCCCTCCCCAATTCCTTCAGAACCCCCTTCATCAGCACCTCCTGAGAATGACCCTTCTGAAGAAGAGAGAGAGAGATGGGATTGGGCACGAGTGGACAGAGACCCCCAAAGACAATGACGTTCTATTTCTTCCACCTCATGGTAGGTACGTGGGAGTCTCTCTCTTATTAAGCAATACGGTAATTCGGAAAAAGAAGAATTTGTGGGGCTATCTACAATATCCGTCTGCTGAGATTTTGATTGTGTTAAATCTATAGATGGATTTGGGAAGAGTCGACATCTTTACTGTGGTGAGCCTTCCAATCCATAAACATGGTATGCCTCTCCAATGATTAAGATGCTCCTTGACTTCTTTTACATTTTGTAGTTTTTAGCATATGCACACTGAACACGTTTTCTTATAATTATGCCTAATCATTTTATCTTGGGGGAACTATTGTAAATAGTACTGCTTTTGTAAAAATTTCACTTCCCAATTGTTCGTGGCTAGGAGATAGAACCATGATTTTTTCTGTATGTTGACATTGTATCCAGCGACGTAATAAACACACTTATTACTTTAAGGAAGGTGTTTTTGTTTGTTTGTTTGTTTTGGTGGTTGTTTGCAGATTCCTCTAGATTTTCTATGTATCTCATTAGCTTTTAATTTTTATGATTACTAATGAGATTGAGCTTATTTTCACATATTTCATGTATTTCCTCTTCTGTGATTTTTTTTAATTCATTACACATTTCTTACAGGTTTGTCTTTTTTTTTTTTTTTTTTTGGATTGATTCATAGGAATTCCTTCTACGAATTAGACCTCATTTACTGTTATAAATATTGCAGGTATATTCTGCCAGCATATGTCTCACATTTTTTTCCTGTTTTGTTATATTTGTTTGTTTTATTTTTTAAAGTTTTATTTTTTTATTTATAAGTGAAAGCATACAGTAGTTGTCTTTTTCTGTCTGACTTACTTCACTGAACACAATACCCTCCAGGTTCATCCATGTTGTCACAAATGGCAAAATTGTATTCCTTTTGATGGAGGAGTAATAGTCCATATTATATATACATATATACATATGTATATACATATAGTGTGTGTGTGTGTGGATACACACAGTGACACAGTATGTTGAGATGTGGGTATCTTTTCATTAATTTTGCTTGGTATTCATTTGATCTTCTACATCTGATAATGCTGTTGTCTTGGTCTTGGCAGCTTGATCCTGCAGTTTGTGGCTTCTGTTAACTTTCATTCCTGCTCACCTGTCCCCTCCTATGTTTACTGAATTTTGATCGTAAGCCCATGACTGCGGGCGCATCTCAGCTCTGAATGGCGTGGTTAGGCTTCCTGGATTAAACGACTCCACTGGCTTCTGTCTAGCTCGGCTGAAAGATACGCAGCTTTCAGGTCCTGCTTTTCTGGGACTAGTGGTTCTCATCTTACAAATAAACATAGATATGCCGCCCCGTCCCTTACGAGGCTCCCACAGCTGTTGTCCTGGAGAGGAAACGCATGCTTGGATGGATGGAGAATTTCTGGACTCGTATGAAGAGACAGGGAATGGGAGGAGCAGCCAGAACTGACCAGGGAGTCGACTACAAGGCAGAGCCTCCTGGGCTCTTACAGGGCTGGGCGGCACCTCCAGGAGCCTGGCTGCCTCTTACAGCACTGGCTCTGGGAGCGCATCTTCCCCAATCTTAACACCCAATCGCCAGGTGAACTTTGGGGGTCCTAGGCTGGGCCTCTGGGCCTGGGAGTGCCTGTGAGCGAGCTGGGCTGCCCTGTCCCGAGGAGGGAGGGTTGAGGGACCAGAGCCGCTGTCCTCTGCACCTGCTGATGCTGCAGGGAGGCGCCAGGGCTTGGCTTGTGGGCACCTGCCCAGCTTCTTCCCCACAGGCCACGGACGTGCGCGGAGATGCTGGCCCACTGCCAGGACCCGAACCCCGCTGGCTGGTGGGGACAGCATTTGGGATTCAGTGACTGAAGCCGAACTTGTCGATTTTAGACCCACATTAGACCTCTGAGGGTGGAGACCGGTCAGTGCCATTCACCACTCATTCCTGGTGCCTAGCACAGGGCCCGGGACAGAGCAAGTGAGACGGGTGTCAAAGAACATTCTCTTTGTGTGAATCAGTGATAACCCCACCTCTCATTCCCTAGGTGCTTTACAGTTTATAAAATGCATTCACACAGACGGCCTCATTTCGACAGCTGCCACATGATACCAGCCACCCCCTACTGCCCGTTCACCTGTGCCAGGCCCGGGGGTGGGCGAGTGTGCCCCAGCCCCGCCGGGTCTCCCAGTGCCAGCCCAGGGCACCCCCCCCCCCGGCTCCTGCCCCCTGAGGCCACCGGGCAGACACTGCCGTCTGCACACAACCTATGTGTCTGCACTTGAGTCCCATCACGGTCTGTGAGGCGGTGCCATCCTAGGGGGGTACTGAGGTCTGAGGTCACACAGGACATGGGGTGTCTCCTCACCACCAGATTCCCCACCCCGAGGGCAGGGGCCTCTGGGCATTTGGGAATCCACTTAAATTGCACGGGAATCTTCAGAAATGGCTATTTAGGTTGCATAACCGTCAGCAATGTTATGCCGCAGAATGTTATTTACTTTTTTCCCCACACCCTCTACTTTCTGAACAGTAGAAGGGACCAGAGCCGAAGACAAACTCCAGGTGAATTTAAACCCAGTGGCCTTTGTTATCTTGTTTCTCTCTCAAGCAGTCTAGGTTGGACTCATTATGGGTAAGGCAAACTTTGAGTATTTGCCTTGATTTTTTTTTTGACTTATATTTAGCTTTCCAAATCTTCTTGGCAGCATAATCTACTCTCTTACTTTTATCCTCCTTTTCTGTTTCCCAAGAGCAGGAGATATTTTTAGATGTTTGGGGCTGGCCCTCAACATGGAAGACTATTTAATTATAGGTAGAAGTTCCGAACGAGTGTATTTCAAGTCCAAACTGGCAGAGTCTGTTTCTTAAGGACACAGATCACTCCTCTATGAATTTTCTAAAGGCTGAACAGAAACCTGAAGGGCTCACTTAAGAGAGGACAGAGCTGAACAGTAAGTTTATTTTTCACTCATTCTTCTCTAGAACGGAGGATAGTTCTTTTACGTTTTGAGAGCTGATTAAAGACACCTCTTCACAGCGGATAGAAAAATGCTTTCAAAGGCTCCTCGGTTCGGTCAGGATTCAGGAGGCTCCCGCTGACCCAAAATGGGATAATCTGACCGTCCACTAAGTATAATAACTACTGTGAATGGGAATAGACCAACTAAATCAAAATCCATGAGTTGAAAATGATACTTTTAAAAAAAAGCCCGACTTTGGTGACTTTTGGAGGATGCGTATTACCTTGGACGGCAACTATGTTCACCACTGGCAAAAATCATTATTTTGAGAAGCGCTTAATAAAGGAAAAGAATTAACTCAAAAAACCATGATGTAAGGGTAAGGAACTTCTAAAATACATGGATTCCTAAGTCGTCCCCTCAGAGCAGCACCCTGAGTCCTGCTACTCCTGGAACCATCCAGGGATGCTGAGAAAGCCCCAAGGGCTGGGTCCTGCCCCAGAGATTCTGATGGGGCTGGTGAGGGAGGCTGTGCTGTTAAAAGGTCCCCGATGATGCAATCGGGACTGCGAACCTGCAGAGCCCATCTCTCTGCTTCCAGGCTCCCCACTCCAGTTCAAGCGCAGGAAGCGGCGATGCTCCCAGGTTCAAACCCCAGCTCTGCCTGTTGGCCGGGTTATTGAACTCATCTGTGCCTCCACGTCCCTGTCCATCA